GATCAAGATGGAGCTAGTGGTGAGCTTGTCTTAAGGAAGGGGGTAACAGTGAGGAAATGGCTCAGTGGGTAGAGAACATGTTGTGAAGACATGAGGATCTGAATTCAGATCTGCGGCACTCACAGAAAAGCCAAGCATGGCAATACTCATCTGTAACCCCAGCTCTAGGGGTGGTGGGGCAGAGGCAGGTGGAGACTCAGAGTTCCCTGGATAGCCAGTCTAGCCCAGTCAGTGAACTCTGGTTTCAGTGAGAGACATTGCTTCAGAAAGTAAGGTGGACAGCAATTGAGACATCTGATGATGACTTCTGGCTTCCACATGCATGTGGACACATGTGCATACACACACCACACACAAACACATACACGTAGGTACACATTACATACAAACAAAAAATTAGCCATGATCTATGTCTGTGAAGGGGAATGCATTGTACTCTCTATGGAAATGTATAATAATGTATCAGAACAGTAATAATACCTTTTAAAGATATTATGGCTTAAAGATATTGTCTCTATTCAATGACATGTAATAAAATCACTTTTAGGAGACAGCTCTTCCAAGATGCTTCTGGACATTGTGCTGTTCTGATGACATATGGTAACACTATCTTAATAATTATGCACTGTCATCCTCTGACACCCTGTGGACAGCATGTTGCTTCCTTCTGGTGGTCCGCTTTCTTGTGAATTATGTGACTTTGAAGAAGGGAGATGAGGCACTTACATTACAGAACCCTAATCAGATGTCCTTTTAGTACCATGTTTGAAGTTCTTGTCTCAATTTAATTTAACTCACAGATATTGAACATCCACTCTGCCTTGTTCTGGGAATCCAAGGATGAATCAGACAATTTCCTCTCTAGGGAGCTCTCAGTGCAGACAGGGAAGATGGAATAAACTATCCCCAACACTGCATGCTGGGAGCATCCGGTCCATGGAATCCCAGCAGCCCGGTCCATGGAGTCCCAGCAGAGAGGGCTTCACTTTGTATGGTGATGTGAGGGAAATATTCAAAGATTAAAAATGTCAGTTATCTAATGCTGTGTAATAAATTACCATCCAAAACTATGACTTAATAGGCACTGGGCAGCCAGAGAGATGGCTCCATGGTTAAGAGTGCTTGCTGCCCTTCCAGAGGACTCAAGTTTGCGTCCCAAGTCCCATATCTGACTCGCAATCCCCTGTAACAGCAGTT